ACACACACACACACACACACACACACACACACACACATATGAGTTGAGTGACCCTACATGGAGGATAATGCTCATCCCAGAAGCCATAAGTTGCTGAATAAAAAGCCCAATTCCAAGTATCCCCTCAAGTGGTTGGTCCAGGGATGTGTTCTTAGTTAGCCAGCAGAACTTGATGGTACAACTTTATTGCTGAAGATATAAAATACTTTGGTCACAGCACTTAGAGAAATCATGCTGCCACTGATCTGGAAGCTCCCCCCTATTGACTAATTTTCATAGAAAACTATCCAGAAAATGATACATAGGCTACATGAGGGGAAAGGCCATAAACAGTCTTAAACAGCTCTGGACACTGTAAGTTGTGAGAACAACTGGCCTGGAAAGATATTCCAATGGGTATTGTAGTGGCATGAATATTATGCAGATAACCAACTGCTCTCTGATAGGATTTGATTGGATTTAAGACCTATTCTGCAGAGGAAACTCACACATGATACTCTAAATTTGGCCAAGTACACATGGTTGGGGATCTCATACACTTTAGGGATGAACCTACCATTATTATTTAGCTAGATGGACATAGTATCAATTTTTTCTCTAAATAATACTCTATCTCCATATTTATAGATTGGTGCAGTTCTCAGTCCTTGTCAGAAAAGTGTCATCATATACTGGATGGTGGTTAATACAGAGATTCACAACTGGTCAAAGTGCAGAGAATACGTGTCTTTGGAATGCTCAGCTGTAAATGAGACATTAATGCCATATGCCACCCCCAGAAGACTCAGGGAACAGTGCCTAAGAGGAGACAAAAAGGTTGTAACAGCAAGACATAGAGGAGAGTTGAGGTGAAGCAGCACTCAAAAACTCACGTAGTTACCTTCCTAAGATCAAGTGAGTCAACATTCTATTATAGATGAGAGATATACTGTGGTATAATGTTCTTGTACACTGGTTTAATAAAACACTGATTGGCCAATAGCCAGGCAGGAAGTATTGGCAGGGCAAGCAGACAAGGAGAATGCTGGGAAGAGGAAGGGAGGAGTCAAGAGTCACCAGCCAGACAGAGAGAAAGCAAGATGACAAGGTAGAACTGAGAAAGGGTAGCAAGCCATGTGGCTAAATATAGATAAGAATTATGAGTTAAATTAAGTGTAAGAGCTAGTCAGTAATAAGCCTGAACTAATGGCCAAGAAGCTATAAATAATATTAAGCCACTGAGTGATTATTTTATAAGCAACTGCAGGACTGCAGAGCTGAGCAGGACTGCAGGGCCATGCAGAACCAGAGAAAACTTTTGACTACAGAGATGGACAAATGGGCTGTCACTCTAAGCTGAGGAGCTATTGACAGTTGATGACTATTAGTGGAGGAGTTAGTTTCCTTTAGGGGTGTGAAAGAGAGCATGAAGTTTGGGAAGGAAACATTGGAGGCATAAACAGAAGGAGCTAAAGAGAGAAGGGTGAGTAAATATGACAGAAATACATTGTATGCATGTATGAAATTCTCAAAGAATAAATAAAAATATATTTTAAAATTAAGTGAAAATGGGTACACAGTATTTGTCTTACAGCATGTTCAAAATGCATCATAGATTGAACACCTAATCAATGGCAGTTTAAGTTTGAAAACTAAATTTTCCTGTGCACCTAATTCCTATTAAAACTCAAGGCATAGTCCATTTACTTTGTATATATTATTGTAATATTAATGCTCTAAAATGGACAATATAAGTAAACAAATTGTTCCATGAAGGTATAAATAGATACAACCTAGTTTTTTAAATTTTCTTCAAGTGTTATAAATGTTTCTACATGTCCCCTTAAGATCCATTGTACTATAATTTGTGGTTATAAATCATAGCACAGGATTTTCCATGCTAACAATCAGTGAGTTGTGATCAGGAATTGGCAAAATTTGTGTTTCAAAATTAGATTAATGGGATGAAACAAACTTTCTACAGAACTGAAATTCACTGAAAAATAATGAAGCTAAAGTGTCTGCACTCTGAATTTTTCAAGGTAGTGTGATTAGGGAAGTGAATGGTGAAGAGTCAAGCTTTACTTATTTTAGAGTATAAATCAAAAGGTCAGAATAAGAACAAAGGCTTGTCCGTAAAGATGTGTTTTGAGAGCTTTAGTTTATTACTTTATTACCATTAAAACTATAAACTATGCTTTAAAAATGTATTGCTTATTATAAGCCTTTAGTGATATCAATTCAACTAATACTGTAGTTTTTAAATGTATTTTTAAATATTCAGGATGCTTTACCATATTGTTTTGGTGCATAAATTAAATTGTGTGTGTGTGTGTGTGTGTGTGTGTGTGTGTGTGTGTGTGTGTGTGAAGATGGGTGTAATATTTTAACTTGTAGTACCATTAAGAAAGCCTTATTTTTTTTAAAGCTGGAAACTACAGCTGATCACAAAATGAGTTATATTAGTAGATCCAAAATAATGTAACTGATTTATATCATTTATGGATTTATTCTCTTTATAGATTGCATTCCATAGCTCTCCAAATCCCATGCCTGTATAGCAGATATATTCTTCAGTCCTAATTTTTTTTTTTTTTTTGGTTTTTCAATACAGGGTTTCTCTTTGTAGCTTTGCGCCTTTCCTGGATCTTGCTCTGTAGACCAGGCTGGCCTCGAACTCACAAAGATCCACCTGCGTCTGCCTCCCAAGTGCTGGGATTAAAGGCGTTCATTCCTAATTTACATATGCACAATTTTATCACATAGTATGAGGAACTTTTAGGATAAAAATGTTTGAAAAAAATGGATGCTAGACCTATTTGTGTTGTTTTAAACTCTCTGAGAAGGGAAACATAGGAAAATAAAGTTTTAAATAACCACAGGCCACAAAATTTATCACATAGTGTAATTGAAGAAGCCTTATACTTAAAATGACCAAACAGAAAAGTAGCTATAGATAAAATTTTTCACTGGTTCCATATGCAATCCTCTTTGATTAGCTGTGTAGCATATGAAAAGAACGTAAGAAGAAATAGTTAAACAATATGAAATAAAATATTAGCTATAAATCAACATTTTTCTCTCTGTGTGTCTTAATTTATACTTATTTAGCACTATTATATTGTGGGGACAAGATAAAAATATATATACAATATCATAGTTTTCATATTGTTTTTTGCATGCTCCATATAAGTAAAACACAAATTCCGCATCCTATGTAACTCCATATTAGATAACAGAAGAAATACACTAAGCTCTAATAATTTGCTATTTTTAATTCATTGCTTTCATCATTTTTTATTTGTAGGCAGTGCTATTATAAATATTATGCTCAACAACAAAACATTACAGAGAAGGTCCAGAATAATAATTAACAGCATCATCCATAAAGGTTTTTTTCTTTATTTATTTAAACACAAGCTTACTAATATACTAATTAAATCCCTTGATGGTGGCTATACATCAGTATTTGGTAGCAATTATTCCACTTATTTAAAAGAGTCATGCTGCAAAGTACATGTCTCGAAAATACAAACTTATTTTCTTTCTAATTATTAAGTACATATGTTTTGATGACTTATAAATACAGTATTATATAGATAGGAGAAACATTAAACAATTAACAAATTCAATAGTAATTAGCTCTCGTTTATAGGCCATTCAGTCTAGATCTGATTTTTTTCATTGTCCATGCACATAGACAATACTAAATATATTCTAAAGAAATAAAATAACTGAGAAATGATGGGTAGAACACGAGACTATGAAATAAAAATTTCTATGCTTTGGTTGTTCAGTTTCAAGTTCTGTGAGTTCAAGTACATTCCTTACCAGAGGAAAATGGTAAAATCCATTCAATAACAAATACTCATATCCAAATACATTTTAGTCCATGTACAAGATACTGTAGATTTTAAATGGATTTGGTAAACAATACAATAATCTTACTGTGATTAAAAAACAATAGAAATGGAGTGAGATAACTGATACTTATTACTAATAGGCCTAGTTGATTTCAAATATGATAACCAGTTATAACATTCTTTTGATTGTCTGCAAGAGTTGTTCATGGCTGTCAATTATTGTTTCCTGGGGAGTACAATCACTGTCTAATCACAGTTTTAATGCAGTATGTTGCAGCCTACATGATATTCTATCAGAGAAACCAAGCCAGTGTGCCCCAAAAACTGTCTTTCCAGTGAATTAATTCAGTAATTAACAATGCATCCATCATTATAATTGCATTCCTTTAGAGTCATAGAAGTGTACATTTCCAATCTCAAGACGCAGGAGGTATAGACAAGAGGATCACCAGTTGGATAGTAGCCTGGGGTGTACGGAGAGACTATATTTCATGAAACATGAAGCAAGCAAAGAAAAGTAAATGTATTCCAGGATCTCTTTAGAATGAAAATATCCTTAGAAGGAAGACCTTTGGAAAGGAAAATCATACAAAAACAAGAATAATAGCACTGGAGGTCAAACTCAATTTCCTGAGAACTGGGACCAGAATTAACATATTCCTTACCCACACTGATTCACAGTGAGTTATACTCAGGTTTCTTTTTTGTTTTTCTTTGTTTGTTTGTTGTTTTTTCTAAGAACAATAGCTTTTCTTCTGTACTGGAAAATCACTTCA